GCCCTGTAATTGTTTGGAGCACAAATCAAACAAGCGACGACAAGGACGACACTTGAAAGGTTTCAACAAATTACAACTTTCAATCAATGCAATTTACGCAACAAGGCAAACATAAAGAAAATCCATCAAAACCATAACCAGCAAATCACTTCAACATTTCAATGACCCCTTAAACAATTTACTTTTTCTTTTTTACTTTTTATACCCTGTACAAAGTTTAATGAATGTTGTAAAGTTTTTGAAATGTTTGCAACGAGCAAAAGAATAGCAGTTGTCAGTAAATTTTGCTTATCAGCATCAATAGCTGACTATATATTCCTGAACTCAGAGACTATGGAAACTAACAAATCAAATGAAGTATATAAATAGAGCAGTTAGAGAACATTCAGAATTTTGAATCTGCCAGAATTATGTTAAACTACCAGCCAATGCATAGCGTATCTTCTAGTCGAGCACACTCGCCTAGATTTCTTTTCTTTCTTTTTTTGTGGCAGTCAACGATAAATTATCAAAATTTGTGGCATAAATCAGTGGTGGAACCACAGAAGTCACATATTGGTAGCATATAAACTTTTCACTTTTCAATATTTGCTCGGACCGTCGATCGACTTGTTTGGTCTGTCGCAAGGAAGGGAAGGAACTAGGGCAGGAGGGTCAACAAGGACTTGCTGGTGTGTGTGTGGGTGTGTGTGTGTGTGTGTGTGCGGGTGTGTTTGATTTGTTTGGCATATTGAAGTGGTCAAGCAAATACGGATGAGGGCCACATGAATCAACAGCATCCATATCCTTGTTAGTGGGCGTAACTGGCCACCCACCAGTTTTGTGCGTTAAGTTAATTGATTAACGACTGGATAGAAAGGAACAATTTTGAAAAAGTGTGTCAGCTCCTGTTGAAGCCATAGATGCACTAACTGATTGTTAGATATTTACCGTTGATTTGTGGTTATTGTCCAGCTTAAATTGTGCCTTGCTGAAGGGTAAGGCTCTGCTCTGACCTGACCTGGTCTGGTTACCCATAACCACCACTATGGTCTGCATCATAATGTGACTGTGTCTGCTCTTTGTTGCGAACTGATTGGAATTTTATGAGCGTTTACCTGCTGCTTTAAGCATCAGGGAGTGGTCCAGTTCTGACCAACTTGATGAGCACAGCGGCCATATTCGGTAATATTTATGCGTTTAATAAGCAACATGACATGTTGGAAATGTCATGTGTCGACGACTGTCATTCAAATGAAACAACTGCCTGCCGCAGGATACGAAAGGAAGTGGTGGGTAGTGGGGGCTTCCCCCTCAAACGTTGCCATTTGGGAGTCGCGTGTGCGCAGGATGTGCTTGATTACTTGACATTTTGCATGGCACGACAGTGGTGCCATATATCCCATGTATTAATGAACGAAATAAATTTAATTTTGGCAATTAATGCACTGAGCATATCAGACGTCAGCAAATTTTGGCCACCCCCCGCAATCAGTTAACTTTATGTTTATCATTATTGACTCGAGAGCACTTTCCGCACCCCCGCCAAACTTTGACTTGTCGCTCATAATGAGCGGACTGACCGCCCCCCCTTTGGCCTCCTGCTCCAGCTGGTTATGGGCGTGGCACTACTTGGATTAGATTGGTTCGCATTTCGTAATCAAATATCCTAGTTGCGCTTTCACTTTCACCGAAAATGTTCGCAAATTGCAATAAAAATGGACAGCAAAGGCAGCTGAATCTGGGCTAGGGGCTTCTTGTGTCTTCTTTTGGGGGTTGCTGTGAGTTGGCAGTGAGACAGCGCTTAGTCATCATCGAGGCGTCATTGTTTCTGCCTCCAGGCGGCTTATTGGATTTTTTGTTCAAGTGCCACTCTTGCGCTATTTACGAGACAGTTTGATAAGTCGAAGCCATGGGAGTCGCAAGGAGTGCTCAGGGAGCAGACAGCAGCTGTCATTGTGCTGCTATTAAACACATGAGTCCACAGTTCCAGCGAAAAGTACGCACAATCTGAGTTCACACCTGGAGCATGGAGGACAATAGGCGATGCTGACACAATTGTCGCACTTCAAAAAGCCACTCGAAACTTTTGCTGACAATGCCGAGGATGTGTGAAGGGAAAACCTACTAGGCTGGCAATTAGCGCTAAAAGCCGAATCAAAGAGACCAAAAAAATAAGGAAAGTAGAACTTAGCTAATAACCTGATTAGAGATTAAAGCCACAACGTGACTTAATTAAACGAGTGTGGAGAAAGAAGCCTCACAAAACGCGTAGAAACGTGTTTCGCGGTTTTCTGCCAACAGATCAGAATTCTGCCGGCAACGTGAGTTAATCGACGCTTTGCCCGATTTCCGAGCAGAAAGGATAATATTACAATGTCCTGGCTGGCATATCGCATGTATCCATTACACTCGACTGCCGCTGACCGGGGTGACTGGTTGCCAGCCGATTAGTTCAGTGAGCCGCGACCATGTCCACATCCACATCCACAACCACGTCCAGTCGCTGAGTCCATCAACGGCACATCAAACTGTCCGAGCAGTAATAACAACAATAGAACCATTCAATCAGCGAGCATAAAAACATAAAGAGATTTTAATTTTTTGATTATGCTGCCATCGATTGTCCGGCTCTCATGTGTGTATTCTTGTGCGTGTCCTGCTCCCGAGGGAACTTTTCCTTTACTTAGTCTCAGTTCCTTTTGCCACTGCTTTTGTTCAATCGTTAATCAATGAAGTTCGTGTACGCGTCTCCCCTTCGATCATTGCTTCATTGGCGACCCCTGGTCAGCCGAACCCCCGGCTCATGCTCATCTTGAACCTCACTCATCCTTGGAGGGCAGCTCATTTGTGCGTTTAGCATAATAAAAAAATCAACAGCGACGCGTAGTTGGCCGGAAGAAAACCAAGTTGATTTCATTTCACTAACGCTGGGGAAAAGTCGAGAAAATCGCACAAAATTGTGTCGCTAATGCGTCGTAATTTCGATTAAAGGCATTTCCGGTATGGAGGGCATGTAATCTAGACTATAATTGCAGTTCATCAGCAGAAGCTGGTCTTGAGTATATATATACATAGTTCGTAGTTGAGTTTAATCTATGTATATATGTATATAGTTCGTCTGGAGCACCTGAGTTATTTACTTTTCTTTTGACAGACGCATTGCGCTCCTCCTGCTTCCGCTCAATTAAACAATTGAATGCAATTTAAAGCCTGCTGCTCCAATACAACAAAAGACAAATCATAGCTATTAATTCCGCACTCGAGGAATGTTTCATTACAACAGGAACTGCGCTCTGCTGTCACTCCTGGTACTCCTTGTGTGCACCCTGCCCCGCGCACACACATGTGCCACAAGGATGTCGGGGCTGGCACTGCTTACTTTTAATTTCCTTGCGCCGCTTTATTACACGCTCATTCATATGCAAATCGCTGGACTGTAACACAAAGAATACGGCTGAAAACCTGAAAAGCCCAACAACAGCAGCCAGCACAAGTCAAAGAAAACCCGGAAAAACTCGTATCAAGTAGGTTGGCATTTGGCTTTGAGCGATTAAAAAAAAAAAAGAAAAAAAGAAATAGCAACTGCCTCGTTGTGGCATATGCTTAGCATATGAATGCCCCAGCCATATAGCATCTATAGCATCTTAAAGAGCTCTTGCAGAGTTTGCAGGATTTTCACCTCATAACCCAAAAAATGTGCGCAATGCTTAAATGTGAAGATGTTGTGATGTTGGTGATGGCGATGGTGATGGTGGTGGTGGTGTTTCTGTCTTTTAACTACCCGCGAATGGACCGTCAAATGCTTTATGGGGTTGTTATATTTGTTGTCGCTGTTGTTAATGCTCTTCTTGTTGCTGTTGTTGTTGTTGGGACTGTACCTCTTATTTTGGTTTTTAAGCATCCCATATCAAATTTAAATGAATCGCTTGCCAGCCTTTTCCCTTGAGCGACTACATGTGGTGTTTATAGTTTCCAATAGATTTAGGGTTACAAGTTTCGGGTATTGTATCATTTGGCCAGAAACCTGGCTGGATATTTGTTGGGAACAGTTCACATTTCCAATTTCCGCTGCGATTTTCGCCTTTGTTTGGCAAAACAATTAATGTTATTTGCATAGTAGTTGGCGATTTGCCATTGCCACACAGCCACACAAAAGGACCAAAGGACCAGTCACAAATAGAGCTGGCCGCATGCATTCCTTTTGGGCCCGGGCCCGGGCCCGGGGCGAGGCTTTGGCATTGTCTGCTCTGCCATCAAATTGAATTTGACTTTGAAAATATTTTGGTAATATCAGCTGTGGGCCAGCAACGGGAGGTGTGTGTGTGTGAGTGTGTGTGTGTGTGTGTGTGTGTGGAGTGTGTGTGTGTGAGTGTGTGTGTGGGGTGTGTGTGTGTGTGTGGTGTGTGTGTGTGTGGGTGTGTGTGTGTGTGTGTGTGTGTGTGTGTGATGTGTGGCAAGCATCTCGCTGACAGCTTCTCTTTCTCTCGCTTTCTTTGTAGTTTGGCGCATTAGTGGCAGCACTTGAGCGCTTTTCAACTGCCATTGCACATGCCTCAAGTGTCGCTTTGCTAATGTGCAAAAAGTGTTGCTTAACTTCACACACACGCACACACACACACACTTACACATACTGCTGCGAATTGAAGTGGCACTCGAGTTTTTGGGAAAATTGCCAAAAGGCGCAAGTGTTGCGTCACACACACACACACACACACACACACACACACACACACACACATATGGGCTGCTTCAAGTTTGTGCTTGCCTATTTATTTGTGCGTTGCTTAAATTACACGAATTTGTCATCTTGTTGTACAGTTAACATGCACCCCGCTGATTTTGCCCCCACCACCCAACCCTACCCCACTCACACACACACATGCTTGCATATGTCGTTGTTTGCTTAGCCACACCCCTTGTCTAACGCCCTACGCCCACAATGCAACCTTTCTATTGTTTGCACAGCAGTTCAAAATTTCAATTAGTAGCCAACAAAAAAAAAGAAAAAAAGAAATGGAAACTGTTACAAAGTGTTTATAATTAGTTTTTCAAATGCAAATTTGTGTGTTATTTTGTGGGCCACCAAATTGGAATTAAATATTCTTTTTACAGCGTGGATTGTTGTTGACATTAACATTTGCCCTGCGGCACTGACCCAGTGCCACAAAAATCCCATTTCTGACTCTGCACCTTCTGTGTAAATTTCAGAGTAGACACGTTCTTAGCTTTACTTCCGGTCCGTTTGGGTTCACGTTGTCAGCAATTTAATTTCAATCAAATAAATATAAATATAAATCGACTTGCCACATTGTACAGTCTGTATAATTGTAAGGGAAAATTCATAATTTGCACACAATCACAAATGAGATAAACGGAAGGAAGCGAATTTGAAGGCGACATCAGGATTTGCATTCGCATCCTTAAAGCCACCACCAGTTGCAAATGGTTTCCCACTCATTTCAACAGCTTGTTGCTAATTTTTTAATAAATATTGAACAACTCAAGTGCCAGCAACCGGGATTCGTTGGCAATATGCAAATTTACCAGCACAATATTCGCACAAAATGAAAGTCATAATTTGGCATCACGTGCGCGATTATTGTGATGATTATCGTTGAAGGTTTTCCCCACTTTTTCCATTATGCCCCTTGCTGATTAAAAATCTGATGTCTCGAGCTGTTTATATTTATATACATACATACTACAACAGATTTTGTTGATTTTGCGTTAACGCCACGTGGCAGGCATCCTTCGGCGCGGACTGTGTACAGTTGAGCCTACACAGATTTTGAACTATGCTTTTGGGGGTGTGTTATTGTTGTTATAATTATTTTATATATATATGTTTGTTTGCCGCATAGTTACTACTATGCGTGACTACTAGGTAAGTATTCATTTTCTGTTTTGGAATTAGTATTTGTAATAAGTATTTGCCAGCTCGAAGTTGACTTCATTTTTCTGTCATTTGTTATTTTTGTTGCATACTTTTGGGGGTCTCCACTTTAAGTGCATTCACTTGATTTAATATTTGTTGCTTAACAGATTTTTTAATTGTTGTTTTAGTTGAGGCATGTGGACGCTTCCTTTGCCTTTTGCGCTTATCCTTTTTATACTCGTAGTCCCTCAGCCGCAGTCGTTTTCGACTAAAATACGAGGGACGCGGATTTCCAAAGACAATGGCTGCGGGTACTTGTAGAGAAGGTGCGCTTAAAGTAATGCCCACATTCTGTGAGCATAATGAACGTGTAGAGTGAATTTAAGTGAATTCTTGAAAGGACAAACTGCAACTACGCACCTGTGAGATGTTCTTCGGCTGACCGTTGGTAAGCAGAAAATATCCAGAAGTCAGGAATAGCAGCAAGCAACACAATCGCCACATTGTCAATTTTACAATAATCTATGTTGGATATATTATTATTTATTATTATTATTTTTTTTTTTTTGGTTTCCTGTTTTGCTTGTGCTAAGCTCAAGCTGTTCAGAGCGAATGATATGAGTTTTTTTCAATTATTTATGTTGACTTCAGCATCGTCAGTTAGTCGGGCTTCAGTCGCAAAAGATATAGTCCAGTGTATTTGCACTGTATTTCTAGATTATACCCTATATCCGCTGTATTTAGTCTGATGACCAACTTAGCACAGTCTGCTTAATATGTTACATCAAAAATAAATGAAACAAATTTAGTTTTAGATATTTTATTTAAATATATAAAAAGAGCTTTACTTATATTAAGTAAAAACCTATAGACAAGGTTCTAAACCTATGCTAGGAAAACAAAAGAAAATTGCGTAAATTTAACAGATTCTTGTTATCTTAAATTATGATTAATAGTCATAGATAGATGTACAAGCTAACAATGCAAAATATGAATTGGAAACAGAAATCTATAATTAAAATCAAATTGTGTATATATAGAAAGTGTATCAAGGCGTTGTTACTCTTTTAAAGTTGCTTTTCCATATGCTTTTTGTTGAGTTTACAATGCAAAAACAGTTTAACTCCGATAAGAGCTCATATTTGTTTCGCAACTCGCCAATTCACAGTGCTGTTCAACTTTTTGCTTCCCAACTCGTACTAATTCTGTATTTATTTTCACTGTAATTCGATTGGCAATCCATTAACTAATGAAACCGATCCTAAATTCCTTTTTTCGCATTCTAATTTCATTGGATTTCGACAACAATTTAGCCCAAAGTGCTCTGAGTGAGTTACCCCTGTGCTCTAACCCCAGTTTCCTACGGGGGTGGGAAGGGGTGCATGTGTTCGTCATGCAAAGCATTTGATGTCTGTATCCTGTATCCCTGTGTATTATTGTCCTGCGTATGTTTGTGTGACATTTAATGGCAAGATGTCAACATGTCTGTCGCATTTATTGATATGAGCAGCGCGAAATTAACAAATCGATAAACTTTTATCGTTATGCATTTCGAGCCCAGCTGCAAATAAATAGAGAAGCAATTGCCAAGTACATAAAAAAAAAATAAAAACGAACTGTATATTGAGGCACACCCAATTCTCTTTACAGCCAACTGTTCTGTGCACCTGTGGAGCTCTCGGCATATGGCTAATTTTTATAGCCTACCTTCTAATTTTTCAATTTGGCCAAGCAAAAACATTTTACACAAAAGCCACGACAACAAAACGTTACGAAATTAAATTATAAAGCGGGGGTTGTTCAGACTTACAAATAGATTAGATGAATTTTTGGACGTGCTTGAATATACAAAATATTGGCTTACTAATAGCTGCAATGGGCGTGGCATTAGGCCTACAAATGAATTCGTTGTATGCCTTTTGTCCACGATATTTTTCATGCTTTTGCGGTTAGCATTTGTTGTGACAGATGGGCTAGAAAAAAACCCTCAAATTACTATTTAGCGGAATGCATAGCTCTAATTCCCTTTTGAGTTGCAGATGTAGCTCAAATTTCGACAGTCCAATTCCATTTTCAATGTCAAATATGTTTGCCAAATTACATACAATCATATAATGCTTACGTGCTTAAATCTATATGTAGTTCAAGGTTAAACACAAAATCGCCGGAGCTTCATAATGAGCTGGGCAAACAGAGAGCCGATAAAAAAAATATATAAAAAAAGCAACAACAACAACAACACAAACTGCGACTCGCTGTCTCTTCTTCTGCCTGATAACTATCATCATGAATATTAATGCGACATATCGCACACACATCAACATGAACAGCACAGCAACATTAACGTTAACATCAACATCAACATCAACATCGACATCGGCATCAGCACAGCAGCAGTGCCTCAAAGAGTCAAGTTCACTTTCACTACGCTGACGCACACTTTACAGCCAAACAAAACCAACAACAAAAACAACAGCAACAACAGCAACAACAACAGCGACAACAGAAACAACAACAGCGACAATAACACTGTGATTATCAGCATTGGTGAGCGTTGGCCAGTCCAATTTTGGTCAGTGGCACAGTTCGCATCCCAGCGTCGAACTGCGCATACAAATGCTTGGCTCTGTCTGTGGCTATTTTTGGCCAACTTGGCTTCACCTGATGAATGGCATCGATTTGAAATTGGGCAGCGTTTTTGGCCTGACTCCACTTGGCCACTTGGCGCTGGCATTGCATCACTGCCAGACGCGCTCAACAAAATATTGGCAGCCAACAGCGTTGAGCCAGGTCTGGAGAGGCGACTCAGTTCAGTTTATGGAGTGCATGCGAATGACGGGTGAAAGCAAAGTGTGGCAATCAATGACGACATCAAAAAACAACAACAACTAAACTGCAATATCAAGTTTAACCAGCTGCAACATTGACTCGAAGACAAAAAGTGAAACAGCTGACTAACAGACTGACAGTCTGGCTGAATAACTAACCGTCTTCTGTCTTCTGTCTTCTGTCTGTTGGCCATTTTCATTTTAAAATGTCTCAAAAGTTCGCTTATAGTATAGCCCCGCCTCAAGGCCAACTCTTGCTTACTAAGTGCGAGAACAAACAATAACTCTACTTTATATAGAAAGAGTACAATTGTTTTTATATAATATACAAGTTTTTTTACCCTCCGTTCGTATTAAAACTCTTTAACTGTCTGCTCTCTCAAAAAAACATGTTAAATTTATATTTTTTTGCACTCACACATTTTAGCCAAATATCAAATAACTATCTCTTACGGTCGGAAGGCTTAGAAATCCTCAACCCGAATTTGTTCAAGAATCAGGGTTGATCAACAGAGGACACAATAGATTTAGCTAGATAGCAGTGTATGAAGAACCATAATATCTTTTAAATAAAGACTTCATCCAGACTTCAAACTTGTACCACAACAATCTGTATATATATTAAAAATTTTGATTTGCATGTTTTGAGTTACAATTTTTTTATTGTTACCATATATAATACATATGTAAATTGTATTACTAATAATAACTTTTTCCAGCGAATGTATTATTTGATGTGTTTTGAAAAAGGCTGCCATTTGGCAATTGATTAATTGAAAACACGCTGATGTGTATAAATATTTTAATAGCTTATTTAAATAGAAACATGTTTTTCAGACTTTTGTTAGCTCACAGATGTACACCAATACAGACACACTTGCACACACTCACTCTGGCACACACACACACACACACACACACACACACACACTAATTGTAAAATGAAAGAATTTCCATTAGACACTTGGCAAAATATGTACAAATATTTATAAACAGCACAACAGTCCAATGCCCACAAATAAGCCCATCCCACTTTTAGATGCTAGGCGCCGCCAACTGTTGAAAAGTAAATCTAACTTCAAACTCAGTCAACGCCGTCGCTTAAACGTTCCACATTTAGAATGTTTGCTTGGTGTTATATGACTTGATGATGCTCTCGATCCAGCTAAGATAGCTCAACACAGACGTATAGACACCCGGGCCGGCGCCGCACTGCGTAAAGCCGTAGCTGACAATGCCGTAGGCTACCCAGCGCGAATGCTGGCGATCGAAGTACATCAAAGGACCGCCACTGTCTCCGGCGCACGTATCCTTGTCCCTTTCGCCGCCGGCGCAGAGCTGCGTGGGACCCAAACGGACGCCATACTCATCCAGCAACTTGCTGCAGTTCTCGCTGGAGACATAAGGAATACGCAGCTTCAGCTTGATCGGACTGTGTGTGTTCTCAAAACGCTTGTTGACTGCAATTATAAAATACAAACAGTTTATTAGCCGGAAAGCTGAAAGTTGTTGGTCCAACACTTACAGAGATCGGTGCGTCCCCAGCCGGACACGGAAAACATTTGGCCCTCAGTCAATGGCATCTGGGCGGTCTTGTTGGGCAGGCAAATGGGCATTATGAAGTGCGTAAAGCTAACGGGATGTTTTAGTCGGATTATGGCAATATCATTGTATTTGTGACTGGAGTACTCCTTGTACTCGGGATGCACATGTATGTGCTCGAAGCCGATATCCAGTGCAGCATCCGCACAGCTCAAATAGTTCGGCTCCTCAATGCAGTCCGGCTCCGTCTTCACATTGAACTCACCCAAACGCACGTGTTTCCTGCGAAAAGTTTAGATTCGTATTCAAATATATAAACTAGGTTTGATAGTCTTACAATCCGCGTCGTTCTCGCACTCCCTCGCCTTGGACACAGTGGGCGGCGGTCAGGATGTGACGATCATCGATCAGTGTGCCGCTGCAGCCGTAATCGCCTAGGAAGGGAATAGAAATCAAATATTATAATTATTGTGAGTTTGGAAAATAAAGCCACAAAGTCTAGGAAAATCATTACAGATGTAATTTTATATTAGAAGAAGGTTTAAAGTTTTTAGAAAATTTAATTGATTAATCTGTCTTAATACAATTTGTCTTAATTAGGTTCAATATATATGAATAAAAGCATTTTATGGACTTCTCATTAAAATAAGCGATTTATAGGAAATTTTACCGAATTTCCATTTTTGAATTAAAAGAAAGATTAAAGAGTAAAAAAAAAATAAAATAACTAATTGAATCTTATGGAAAAACACGTCAAAAACATAAATATATGGTTAGCTCATTAAAATAAACAATTTATAGTAATATTTCCAAATTTCAATTTGTTAATTAGAAGAAAGCTTCAAAATTACAACAACAATAAAATGTGAACTGGTTGAAATGTCACCTTTATGGATACCTCATTAAAATACACGATTTCTGGTAATACCCACAAAAATAAGAATATTCGCCTAAGATTAAAGTTGAAGAGAAGCACTTGAAAAGCGTTAAGGAAATAAACTAGTATTTGATGTGAAGTTTCTCGCAAGGAGAGACAAACGAATTGGAATTGCTGGAATGGACTGGACTGGACACACAAAAAATATATAAAGATAAAATATTAAACAAATTTACAACTTGAACTTGTGGAAGTTCGCGAACTTACTCGACTGATAGACCAATAATGCCAGCCAAGGATACTCGTCCAGTTCGGCAATTTCGCCGCCATAGATGCGATTTGTGACCTGTTTGCCACACTCGTTCAGCAGATTGAAGCCCGTGCTGGGTTCAACGGTTTGAATGCGTCGCTTGAGCTGCTTGCGCTTGAAGCGCGCTGTGACATCCAGAAAGCGACGATACTCAAACTTGGAGAATTGTATGACCGGAAAGAGATAATCCTGACCATTGGCTGGACAGCACACAAGTGGCTTGTACACGGATTCATCGGCGCTGTCATTGTGTGTAGCAGCTGCTGATGTTATCTGCTCCAGATCGCATTGCACCTTCTTCAGAAAGTTGACGCGCTCCGAGCTGAGATTGGACACATTGCGCACCTGCAGATAGGCGGTACACTGGCTCACCTGGACGCAGACGCCACGCTTCGATTCGTTGGGTATATCGCAGGCCTGGCGTACCGTCTGCTCTGCCTGCTCCGTCTGCTCCGTCTGCTGAGCGCTGCTGACGAGGGCAAGGGCAAGCAGTGCGCTGGACGCCGCCCACAATGCGCCGTTGCTTGGATAGAGGCGGTACATCAGCGATCGGCTGAATAAATAAATCAATCGCAATTGCCGCACTCGTAATTGTGACAGAAACGTGGCGCTGCCAATGTGTAAACAAACACCGAGCACAACACGCGGCGTATACGCAATACGCAATCGCAAACGCCCCAAAAGCACTTGCAGTGGGAGAGGATAGATGGTGTCGAATGTCGAATGTCGGCTATCAAAAACGCACACAATGTGAATCCGCTCGCGTGAACGCTCAGCCGTGTATTGAAACTGAATTTGAATGCTGCGCGCAACGGCGATGGCAGCCGAAACCGAAACCTCAGCAGCGAGTCGGAAGAGCCGACGAAGCTCAAAGTGCCAAAAACAAAACACAACACAAAAGAAAAAGAAGAAAAATAAATAAAGCGACAGTGATAGCTAACTGTCTGCGCTTATTCACCTCAGCGCCCCCGCAGCTTGTGACACCAAAACGAGCCCAAAACTGCAATCGCCGTCAACGAAACGGGAGCAACGGTCAAGCGCTGTTATTGCTGTTGTTGTTGCTGTTGTTGTTGCTGTTGTTGTTTTTACTGCTGCTGGCTGCTGGCGGGTCCGGTTATGCAATCAGCTCTCAGCTCTCAGCTCACAGCTGTGCTGCCAATTGTTGTTGTTTTTCTGGTTTCACTTTCATTTGCTGTTCGAGCTATGCTCAGCGTTGCCTACTTTTAGGGCGTGCCCATTTTTAATTGAGCTTTAAAGCTTTTTACACGCCTTAAGCTGAATATCAAATTATCTTTTATTTTATAAATAACTTTGACATCCTATTGAAAACTTTTGTTTGTAAATGACCATAAAATTGGACTTAACTTCATGTAATATCTTCATGGGCCAAGCCAAGCTGGCTGATCAAAAATATATATTAGATATACTTTGCATACCAGTGTCGATTTTTGTATTTATAATTGTTAGAACGTGCTCACTTTAAGCATGCGGACAAACCAGTTTAAACTGATGCTTTCACACCTCTGTGACATGATGAAATTAATTAAACTTAAAATGCTGGATATTTTATATGTCAAAACATACTTTTAATAATTTGTAATAATCTTTAATGTATGCATAATTCTTTAATTCTTGTAGTAATTTTCCTATGATACTAAAGCTTAACCGCATTAACAGCCTTGGTCAAAGTCCAAGATCAACCGCCAGCTGTGAGCTTTTATAAGGCGGATATAGTTTCTTCTTGTTGATGCTTCTGTGAGATGGCCAATTAAGTAAAACGTGGTGGCAATGTGCGAAAGCCTTGCGGTTGAGTGGAAAATCCAAAGGTTTTTGTCTTCAATAACACCAGTTCATTCACACTGTACATTTGTCTTTTAAATATTCATTTATTATTACTAAAGAACTAACACTTATGAATATAAATTAAATTAATATGTCTTTGCTGATATCTTATGTTATGTGTGGTATGAACGAGTACGAGTTAAGCAAGATCACAATTCGAGCTTCAGACTAAAATCCTTAGAGGGAGTCGAGGGGCAAGCGGCTGTGATGGCTTGGCTTTCTTAGGCCCTCACATTCTGCTTGATCCAAATGTCGTAGGCAGCGACGCTTGTGTAGACACCCGGCCAATCCTTCAGGCCGCACTTGTAACCAAACGAGACAATGCCCTCAAGCACCCAGGCGTCATTCCTGAAGCGCATCAACGGTCCACCCGAGTCACCATCGCAGGCATCCTGAGCATATTTGCCACCTGCACACAACTGCGTCGGCATAATGCTAATCTTTCGTTCGGCAAATTTGCGCTTACATTGCGCCGCCTCCACAAAGTTGACGATCAGTTTTTGCTTGATGGGACTCTGTGCGGATCGCAGAGTGCGTCCAAAGCCAACCACTGTGTACTGTTGGCCGGCTCGATTAGTTTCCGGCGCCACAACCGAGGGCAGACAGATGGGCTTAATGCTGTTCGAGTAGCGCACATTGCTCTCCAAGCGAACCAGGCCAATATCATGCAGCTGATTCGGTGACTTCTCCTTGTAGAGATCATGGACACGCGTCTCCTCAATGCCCAAACGTTGACCACCGCTGCTGGGGGAATTCATTGCAGTGCGCGTGTCATGTTCGCCCAAACGCGCAGAGTTACTAAAATAAGCAAACAAAACGCACGAATTAAATTAAATACAATATCATAAAAACATTGTAGGAAATCAGAAATAAGTAGCTAATTGAATTTTAAAAGTGCGAACGTGCCCAACCAAAAAAAAAAATAATAATAATAAAAAAACAAAAAGAAAAAATAGTATTAAAATAAAATAAAAAAAAAAAAACCCGCGGTCAAGCAAATTACGAGCGTAACCAATTGTTATCCACTTTGAACCCGCTCCAAGCCCCTCCCCACCATGAATCACACGCTAAAAAGCAACGGCGGCGCTTTGAATCTGGTTTGGCCGTTTAGCTGACTTAATTAATAAGCTTCAACTTGGACAAAAACAATAACATCAGCAACAACAACAGCAAGAATATAGAAACAAAATCTTAACAATAATAACAATAACAGAGAGACACTCGGACAAGCTAAAAAGCCACGGGGACTCCTTCTAGCCCAATTAGTAGCTAGAAAGTGTTATTTGGTGCACAGAAATACGTCAAATTGAATTGATGAATAAGTTGATTGGAATTCAACGCTATCTCCGGCTAATAAATGCTAATTTTTGCAATACTCACAGTGGTCCCTTTTCGCGCAGAATGCGTCCAGCCAGGCAATGGGCTGCCGTTAGAACATAACGCTGATTGATCAATGTGCCCGCACAGCTGGTGGCCAATCCATTGCCGGTCAGCAGTCGATATTCCAGTAGCACCGTCCAGGGGAACTCATTCTGATCGGCATTCTCGCCGCCATAGATCTTATTGCTGATGGTCACCCCACCGCAAGTTGGCAGCTGTGGCAACAATGTGGAACCATCCGGTTGCTGTTGCTGCTGTGGCTGCTGTGGCTGCTGTGGCCGCCGCGTCGGCTGTTGCCGCTGTGGTCGCTGTGTTCGCCTGTTGCTGCCAGCGCCAAAGCTCCAGGGTCTAATGTTCTGGGCGGGGAACAGCACAGTTGTCGGCTGAGGTGCGTTTGGTGCCCGATTCCAACTAAAGTCGTAATCATTGCCAAAGTTGCCAAAGTTCGCAAAGTCGCCATAGTCCATGCTGCGACTGCTAGTATAGCCCGTATCTCGGGTGCAGCACACAAAAGGACGATTATCGTTGCCCATGCCACAGCTGGACTCCCGCACGAACTGTTTCTCCACAGCCGACAGGCTGTCCTGCTGCAGCACCGAATACAATGTTTGGCACTCGCTGATCTGCACACAGAGACCAGCTCGCTGATTGGGATTGGTGCAGCGCTCATCTGCAAAAGAGACACACAGATTAATTAGAAGAAACCAATTTGTATTTTGGTATGCCGAAGATTTAATATCCCTAAAGGAATTTCGATCAATATGAGACAATTAATTTTTGAGACTGTTTGGAATATCTCAGTTAATCAGTCAAAGTAAGTAAGTAATTTTATTAGCAGTCTAAGTTTGTCTAATTGTTGTTCAACAATTCTTAGATGGAATCTTATTTTTAAACAGAGTTATATGATAAATTACTCCCATATTAACAAATTAAAAATATATTTTGGCAAATTACTATTATATTATAATATTTATAACAACCAATAAATCATCCAGCTTACAAGCGTCTTTGGCTTTGTTTAGTCAGCTCGAATACCTGATAAAAATAAAACGCCTACTTCAAAGAATTACAAGCCTCACAACTGAATCCAAAAACCCCCAGCAAGGACATGTATATACATATATATGTGCCATAAAAAGCTGGTTTTGCTCTGGGGAATCACCGTCAACGTGGGGCACGCGTCCGAGCTAAACTCAGCGACATTCTTGCGGTTGGACTACCACTGACAGTATGAGTTATTAGCAGCCTGGAACTGGAATTGTGCACTTAATTAGCAGCAAAGTTGCATTAAACGCTGATTCAACCAGCTTAGCTTAATTAACAAATAATTGGCTAATTCCCTCACAGCTTGAATTGCAGATTGCAGAACCATTCTAAAGTTCTCGGGGGGTTTTTTTTAATTGTAATTAAACACTTTTTGAGCAGTATTATAAAAATCCCACAGATTCTGTGGTCAGTTTAATGGTTGATTTGTCACTTACATTGCGCTTTCGTAGAACTCGCACCCAAAATGCACAGCAACCACAACACAAACAATTTCATTTTGTCTCACTTAACACACTTGTATTATATTATATTATATTGCATTTAGTATTGACCGATCGAGATTAATCACACTCCGCGCTCGAAATTGAACTGTGAGCAGGTCCAAGTTGACGCTGGGCTTTTATAGCCGCGGCAGAGACGATCGGGCTAAAACAAGAACAAGCCGAGCACTGAGTTTGAGAACCGGTGACAACAAATCTCTCTCTCTCTCTCTCTCACACTCCGGTTAATCAGCGGGTTAGTCAATGGGCCCCGATTGTTATCCAATAGGGGGAATGTTGTGGTTAAAGCATTTACAATTTGCATAATATCTGCATTGTCAAACATATATAGGCTCAAGAATACATATATATATATATATATATATATAACAATCGAAACAAATTCAAGAATGAATGAAACTGAAATGCGAAAGAAAGACATAAATGTCTAGGTTCATTAACCCAATACGGACAAATTCGAATATAAACTTGAAGTTCGTCTGCTTTAAAATTCGCCTTCAACGTCACATTTTACTATGATGACGATGACGTATTGAGTTCCAGTTAATTGATTTGAAGGCGCTCTAATTATTTTAGTCACCCATCATCGTTTGTAGTTTCATTCTGAGGCATTTGTCACGCGAATTATTTGAAAGCAGTGCAGAAGTTTTATTCAAACGTTATTCCCAGTAACATTTCAATTCATCGCTTCTTTCATTAATGGGAATCACCCACGTCAACGACCAACGCCATTTGTAACATCTCTGTCACAGCCAGACGGAACTGCCCTATCACAAAAAATCGAGGTGGCAACCAGTTCCTAATGCGTTTTAGCATGGTTCCCTGACATTTCACAGGCAGAAAATTTCCAAAAGCAGTTAAATACTACACAGATAAGCTGAGTCAACCTTAAGCCTAGCAGTTAAGAAGTGAAAAAGCCCACGTAATCTTTTAGAAATATAAATATGCAAGCAAATGCTTTAATTATATTATTATTATGAACGCATTAAAGATGCTTCAAACGAACGATTATTCTTAGCAATTAATAAGCTCAAAACAATATTTTCTCTTCTGTATATATTTTCCCATTCTAAATAATATAAACAATATAATGAATTATGCAGTAAGTATTGGTAACAGTAGCGTTCTAGCCCAGTTGTAATTGATTGTAATCTACATTATTCGTATTAAACAAAAACAGTTTCATATGAATTGATATTAATGATGCATTTATGAATTTAAAGCGACATATCTGTAGTTAAATTCAATGACCTTATTTTCTGCCGAAGTTGAGTTTCTTGGAAAAGTTTTGTTACTAATCCATATAATTTTTTTTAAGCGCGACTCAAAACAAGTCAAACAGTAAAAAGATATAGAACTGAGTCGACCACAAAACAAAAGACCATGAAAAGAATTAAATCACTGTTCGAAATCGGGAGAAGTTGGGTGCCACTCTCGACAGTCGCATGAATAAAAAAATCAAATACACTTTTAATGCTTGCAATGAAGATATTTTAAAATAAAATAACCTGCGTCTTTCCTGTTTACAATTAGCATGGAGAAGATATGTAACTTAAGATAAATGTAGTTGTTTCTTTTCATTTGCTTCATTAAATGTATTTCAAAGTGAGCCCCCCAGCGAGGACAGTTGCTAGTGGATGGAACCGCAAACCTCTTTAATTTCCTGTCATTTCCCTTTCATTTCGTTACCAAATTGGACAGAACTCGGCGGGTTACTAACAAGATCAACATGTTATCGCAGAAAGGGTTAAAGTTCAAGTTAAGTCAGCGCACGCGGGAAATGTCAGCGCCAGATAAACGACTGTGCCGGAAAATGTGAAAATGAGAGTGGGGATGGTCTTATTAAGCGCGAATGTAAAAAGAAAAACTCGCACAGCCACCAAAAATAAACTTGTAAACTGACAGCGGTGGGATTCGAACCCACGCCCTTTCGGACTGGTGCCTAAAACCAGCGCCTTAGACCGCTCGGCCACGCTGCCGTATGGCGCCGTCCTATTTTCTGGCATACAACTTAAACGGCTTTTTTTCAAAATAAAACGTTCTATGAAATAAACTATCTATTACACTTACGTTGTGCGTTCTACAAAAATTACTTCAAAATTCAAGGTTCACTTTTAACACTACATGATTCATTTGAATTAAAAATACGCGAGTTATCAGACAAAAGTTGTGCTTATCATGTTCTTACATACATACATGTATGGGAAGAAATAATCTTGGTATACATATAAAAATGAAAATAGTTTATTTAAAAAAAAAAAGAGTGCAAAAAACCTTTGACAGCGGTGGGATTCGAACCCACGCCCTTTCGGACTGGTGCCTAAAACCAGCGCCTTAGACCGCTCGGCCACGCTGCCTTTTTCCATTTCGTGTCAAATGTGCTATTTGAATTCACAGCAAGCAACATGTATTTGGAATGAAAGTGCTGGTATAGTTTTGGGGATGATTTCCACGAGTGTTGCCGAAGCGCATTTCAAAAAAAAGGAGCAGTCGGCTAAAAAGTAGTGGAAAATGTAACTTATTACTAAATGTGCATTTGCCGAAATGTATTTAAAGCAAAAGTTAATATAAGTTAATGCAGCATTAAATAAAATTACAAAAATAAATAATAATAAGCTATATTCTTAATTAAAAACAAAAATTAACAGAGATTAGAACTATTTCATTAAAAAAATCATAATAAACTGCCTTAAATTGCAAACAAAATAAAACCTAATATAAAAAAACTGGAACAATACTAATAAATTTGAAAATATTAAACTACTAGATATACATGTGAGTATAATTTAATTAAAATTGTAAAAAAGAAAAATAATTATATAAATGCTATAATAAATAGAAATTTAATTAAATACATTTTCAAACTATCAAAGTATTTTTTATGAAAAAATCATAATAACGAATAAAAAAAACAGAATTACTAGTTATGTAGTCTGGGATCCACAGCAAAGCACTTAGTTAACCAAAACTGAAATGGAGATAGTAAAAAACCAACAAAATAACAACCGAGCAATAACAATGTCAAACGCTTTACGAGCCATTGCTATCGGAGCGATTGTAATTCATTGAGAAACGCATTTTGATTTTTGCGATAATGAGCAGGGCATGGGGCAGGGGTAGGACAGGGTCAAGGGGGTGAGTTGAGATTCAGATGCAAACGATTACACCTTCGGGTGGCCTGCGCCCTTTGAGGTCGACAATTTCTAGCTGCCACACACCCCGTAGTTGTTTCCTTTTCTTTTTCTTGTTTTACGATTTTTGCATTTCGCAAATTCGCAAGCTGTATAAAAAAAGAACGTTTCCCGTTTCCCTTTTTTTTTTTTGCTTGACGGTAGCATATTTTATAGCATTTTTATGGCGACATAGTTTAGCTTTTTTTGCGATTTACGAGCGTTTTATAACTTGTTTACATTAAGCAAAAGTGAGTAACGGTAACCCTGGGAAGCGTTTTATGCAAAAATCTATTAAAACGCTGGCAAGCTGCATAAAAATCACAATAAATGCTCAACGATTGCAACTTAAACGATCCATAACCCGTCACGGGGGTTACAACCCTCCGCCTTGACTCTGCCCCAAATCATTTGACACATTTTTGTCCGCTTCAAATTGAGTTTGAAGTTGACGCTGCCGCTGCCAATGAGCCATACAAGTTCTCATTGAAACATTTGAAACATTTCTCAGACTCTGTGCAATAGACCATATGACAAAATGTTATCTTCACCATTGGCAAGACTTTTGCTGGTCATAATCATATAGATTTTTATTAAGCAATGACATAAAAAACGCTTGGAAGAGGCTACCTCTCTATGGAGATCAAGTGGAAAGACGTTCAACTAGCAAAAGAATTTGGAAGTAATTATTTGATAGTCAAATTAACTTAAACTGAAACATTTAAAACAAAAATCACCTATTATATTAACTCAGAAAAAGTTCGGAAATATAAAGCTAGAAAAAAACATTTTGATATAGAAATACAGGCCGTAAAACAAAATATTATATTTAATTTATATTAATCCAATAACTGTAAACAACACATTATTTTCAAGCTTGTTGAAACAGATCATTTTTTGACTATTTAAATGGAAATCATTCAATTGCTGAACTGCATCTGGTTGTATTAATGCTATCTTTATCTTTGTGCTCGAAGCATGTATCATGGAAACGTATGAACTAAAGTTTGTAAATACTAACAAGAACGTAGGAAAAAGTTGAAATGAATTCAATATTTGTAAACAGGCCAACTTTATGGGCTTTGTCACCAATAATCGACAAATAAAAGCCGACAATTTACGCATGCGAATAGCCTTCTCAAAGACTGGCAACAAAAATAGGAGCAGAAAATGGAAAGACCCCAAGGCTTTGTGAATTAAAAATTAAATATACGTTAAATTTAAAAATAGATATTGTAGTTTACAAATTATTATGACCAGTTCACCAAAAATGTAGCACATTTTAAAAAAAATCCCATTAACAATCTACGAACTGATTCAGATGGGTATTTTTTAACAGGTCATCAGTATACAAATTATACAAAAGAAATTACCTAATTTTAACTGTAATTTCAATACCAGCAAAAAAATAAATCTATAATTTTAACTAATAAATATGTGATTGGTAGTAAAAGAGAATAAATCCCCTTTATCGCCTGATTTATCGTCTACGGTGAACGGTGAATACCTAAATTTCAATAATTTGTTTACTTTACATTAAAGAAGTTCCTTAGAAACAGTTAACAATATCATCGGCATCTTTGACAGTTGCTTCTCATTTTTTCGATCGATTGTTCAGTTGATGTAGTGATCCAATTCGGACGGCAAAAAAAAATAAGATTTAAATATTTACACTGTAATGTTAAAAAATGATTTTGTTCTGAAAATATATTAAATTAATAAAATAATTCCTTGGACAGACGTAACAAAAAAAAGCCAAATAATCTTTAATAGCTTATCGAAATTTTCACCGACACAAAATGTTTATAAAATTGTTCCAAAAAGTGATTATAATGACACATAAATTAGCACTCCAGACAAGTCAAAAATTATGTAAGATAAGCACGTCTAAACTATTATCTCCAGACTATTTCTGAGGTTGACAATCAACAAATAAGGGGAATTTCGTAATACTTTTGATCGATCGTTCTTTATTAATATTTTTATTATTATATTATATTATTACTATTACTAGGTAATTGATAAGAAAATGCAAATCGTACCTGATCTTTTAAGCATTTTTTTAAATTAAGACATGTTATATTTTTGGCAGCATGTAAAAAATGATGATACGAACTTTAAATGCATAAACAGTTCGGCCATTTGTCTAGATTTAGATAAAAACATAGCTTCAAAAAAAATATTGCGTACTATACGAAAATTCCCAAGATAATTATTAGATAAACAATGTCTTGTGATAAGAAAATATTGCAATTTATTGAATTGTTTTTGCTATAAATACGAGCTTAAATTTGCAAATATCATTAGTGAAAGCATAGCAATAACATTTGGACAACGAATACCACATATTCAACGGCATTTTCATGAAATTTATTGTGACCCTTTTGGTGGCGGTGGCACTTGTGGTACATCTGCAAGAAGCTAGTGCCAGAAGTATCCAAGGCGATCTCGGCCAGGATTTTGTAAGTGCTGTGCTAACAAAACCAACCGGATGATTGTCATGTCATGTGAATTCAATTGTAGAACAATTTCGGCAATGATGTCGGCAAGGATGCCTCCGATTTTGGCAATGCTGTTGCCCAAGCAGCCTCACAGCTTGGCAGTGATATTGGCCAATCCGCAAATAGTCTAGGAAATGAAGACAGTCCACTTGGACAGGCGGCTTCAAAGTTTGGCATTGCAGTTGGCCAAGCAGCCTCAAAGTACGGCATGTCAATTGGCCAGGCGGCAGGTAATACTGGCACCCAAATTGGCCAAGCTGCCTCAAAGTTTGGCATTGCAGTTGGCCAAGCAGCCACACAAGCCGCAAATCAGCTCGGTAATTCAATTGTAAGTTATTTGTGCTGCAAGGAAAAATATCTTTTGAATTTATATTAAATTTATAATTATTTCAGTTGAAAGATCCGGCTGTAGTTGTACCTGGTGCCTCGAATGTTAGCCAGACTGCCAGTACAGCCAAACAGATTGGTTCCGATGCTGCCGGTACAGCCAGCCAGATTGGTTCCGATGCTGCCGGTACAGCCAGCCAGATTGGCTCCGATGCTTCCCAAACAGCCAAGCAGATTGGTTCTGATGCATCTCAGACAGCCAGCAAGATTGGTTCCGATGCTTCCCAAGCAGGAAAACAGATTGGCTCCGATGCTTCCCAAGCAGGCAAACAGATTGGTTCCGATGCTTCCCATAAAGCCAGCCAGGTTGGCTCCGATGCTGCCGGTACAGCCAGCCAGATTGGGTCCACCGCTTCCCATGCAGGAAAACAGATTGGCTCCGATGCTTCCCATGCAGGAAAACAGATTGGCTCGGATGCTTCCCAAGCAGGCAAACAGATTGGCTCGGATGCTTCCCAAGCTGGCAAGCAGATTGGCTCCGATGCTTCCCATAAAGCCAGCCAGATTGGTTCCGATGCTTCCCAAGCAGGCAAACAGATTGGCTCGGATGCTTCCCAAGCAGGCAAACAGATTGGCTCCGATGCTTCCCATAAAGCCAGCCAGGTTGGCTCCGATGCTGCCGGTACAGCCAGCCAGATTGGGTCCACCGCATCCCATGCAGGAAAACAGATAGGCTCCGATGCTTCCCATGCAGGAAAACAGATTGGCTCGGATGCTTCCCAAGCAGGCAAACAGATTGGTTCCGATGCTTCCCATAAAGCCAGCCAGGTTGGCTCCGATGCTGCCGGTACAGCCAGCCAGATTGGGTCCGATGCATCCCATGCAAAAACAGATTGGCTCCACTGCACCGGAAAACAGATTGGCTCCGATGCTTCCCATGCAGGAAAACAGATTGGCTCGGATGCTTCCCAAGCAGGCAAACAGATTGGTTCCGATGCTTCCCAAGCAGGCAAACAGATTGGCTCCGATGCTTCCCAAGCAGGCAAACAGATTGGTTCCGATGCTTCCCATAAAGCCAGCCAGGTTGGCTCCGATGCTGCCGGTACAGCCAGCCAGATTGGGTCCACCGCTTCCCATGCAGGAAAACAGATTGGCTCGGATGCTTCCCAAGCTGGCAAGCAGATTGGCTCCGATGCTTCCCATAAAGCCAGCCAGATTGGTTCCGATGCTTCCCAAGCAGGCAAACAGATTGGCTCGGATGCTTCCCAAGCTGGCAAGCAGATTGGCTCCGATGCTTCCCATAAAGCCAGCCAGATTGGTTCCGATGCTTCCCAAGCAGGCAAACAGATTGGCTCGGATGCTTCCCAAGCTGGCAAGCAGATTGGCTCCGATGCTTCCCATAAAGCCAGCCAGATTGGTTCCGATGCTGCCGGTACAGCCAGCCAGATTGGCTCCGATGCTTCCCAAACAGCCAGCCAGATTGGTTCTGATGCATCTCAGACAGCCAGCCAGATTGCCGGTGCTGCTGGAAAAATTGCCTCAGATGCTGCCGGCGCTGCTGCAGGCATTGCTGGAGCTGCCACAAATGTTGCAGCGGGCGTGGCAACTGGCGCAGCCAATGTGGCCTCCAATGTTGCCCATGGTCTTGCTAATCTTTTTTAAACGAGTTCGATAATCAATCAAGTTAACACTTAAAGTGTTTGGTATGTCTACCAAATATGTACATAATTATAAAAATAAAACTAACCTTTCGCATATTCAATTCATTGTTGTTGTTTAGTGTTAGTCATTGGCATGGGACATTGGTATTATTATTAGACTGCTTAAGGTTCTTGTCGCCCATATCTGACAATATCTATATTTATTTGTGTAAATTGAGATTAGTTGATAACAAGTTGTGGACATCAATCAGTGCACACCGCGAGCATTTGACTTATTGGCCACTTTAGTATAAGAAGGCTTACACACATTATACAAATTGTGTTTATTGCGTCTTTAACTTTTCGGCCATCGCTCGATGGTATATAAATAAGGCTGTCCGACTGTAAAATCAAACAGTACGAAAATTACTAACACAAGAATCAATATGCAAGTCAAAGTTGTTGTCGCGTTGGCCATCATTTTGGTGGCACAGCAGGTCCAAGCTGGCACCCTCAATTTTGGCAACATTATGGGCGATGTCTCCAAGGTGGCAGTTGCTGGCGAGAAAGTGATCCACCAATTGGAGAACGAGTTGATCACCTATGAGGAGCCAACTACTCTAAACGTTCTAAGTGATATGGCTAATGCTTTGGGTGATCTAGCTGTAAGTAATATTGTTAATAGTCTCAATATATTTTTCTATTTCTAAATAATTTCAACTTAGAATGCACTTACCAACTTGAGGGTTGAGCAGAATTATGTCGAAGCTGAGCCCAGTAATCTAATTGGTAGTCTTCTGGGTAGTGTTGGCGATGCTCTCGGTCATTTGGCTGTAAGTTGAACGTCTTTCAGATTGGTCAGTCTTATATAAACCCCTCTCTTTGCAATAGAACACCATTACCAGTCTTAGCGTAAAAATCCAGAAACATTCAGAAATCCAGAATCGCAATGTTGCAGTAAGTATCAACGTGATGTAGATTTAATATTTGAATTTAATTAAATCTTTCTTTGCCGAAAATGTAGTCCGCAGGCGCTTCTATTATTGGTGAAGCTGGTGTAAGTATTGCCACATAAAATTAAAATTTACTTTCATTAAAAACCTTCTTCATACACAGAACATTAGCGCCAAAGAAATCGCATCTGCTGCCAAAGCAGCTGCTCCCTACATAAAAGCGATGAATGCTGGTCTGGGAGATCTGGCCGTAGGTTAAGCTTAATTTCTGTTAATATTTTACTAATCATTTTGAACCATTACAGAACGCCCTCACCCATCTTTAAGTGAACTATGTGGGGCAGCCAAAATAATAATTGTTTACAAAAATAAATTTTCCAATCAGTTTTCATTTGAATAAAGCGAGTTTATCAACAACTTCTATTAGCGTCTGGTGGCTGTTGTTTTGAAATATAAGAACTATAAGCAAGGTCAATCAATGTATGCTCAAGTTGCAAGTTCCAGATGCCATTGTCAGTTCCTGTTCTTGTTCTTGTTCACAACGCAAAGAAAAGAGGTCAAATGATACGTGAATCAAAATTGAGACACGTGATTCTCTGCAACATTAGGGGATCAAATTACCCGAAAACCACCAGCACCACTAGAACGGCACCATCAGCTCCAAGAGAAATAAAGCAAGAGCTGTTTTTACTCTGAATTCCGACAACTGAATACCCTTGCCATATATTTGATGCATTTCTTTTACAAAAGAGTATTTTGTTGCAAAATAGTGTTTAATAGTTCAATATAAATATTTTAAAATATATACAATAAAAGCTAAATTTTTGACTTATTGCTGAATATTAGCAATATATAATCGAATGCTAATTAAAATTGGTGAATCTTAACAATTATTATTATATGCGGCAGCAGAGCTGGTCGGAGGCAGCAGGACTCCGCCAAGCTAGATGTCTACTAGGTGGTTATAATCTTAAACGATTTAACAGGTTATACCCATGGGAAAGAACAATCTTAAAATACTTACCGGTCTAGTGACGGGACACTGTAGACTAAGAAGTCACCTAACTAATCTAGGTATATAGAGAAACGATCTCTGCAGGTTCGGTGAAAGAGAGGAGAAATCCTTGATACACATCCTAGCAGAATGTGTCGCACTAGCTAGAAGAAGATGTACCTTCCTAGGGATGCATGTCTTGAATTTTAGAGACATAGAAGACCTAAGCCCAACAATGATTCTAGCATTCGTACGGGATCTGGGGCTGAGGGAAGAGCTATAGGCTCAGAAGGGGGCACAATAGATCTAACAAGTCGCAGTGCAATTTTTAATTTAATTTGCAAATATATCAAATTTGTAAATATTTAAAAATGTTACTCACTTGATCAGAAAATAACAATGCCGCCAAAGCAAGGGTATAAAGAGCAGCACCAAGATCTTTACTTAATCTTCACTGTACACATGTATTTTAAATAATTTTAATACAAAGGGCTTTGCTTTTGACAGTTGCTCAGTTGTCGGTGCTTTCAGATGCTCGTGCTACTGAAATTGGGTCATACCAAGGGGTGAGTCGATGCAAGACTATAGACGACGACGACAAGCGGAAGAAGTATACGATGCACACATACATACATACATGCACACATACATACATACATGCATAGTTATGTGCATAAGTGTGTGACTGACTTTTGTTGTTGTTGCTTTTGCTGCTGTTGTTGCTCTGTTCTGTTATTAAGTCGCTTTATTGAGCGGCAAATTTCGTTTGTTTTGGCAACAGGAAAGTCAGGCATTTAAGTCCATTATACGCACGATGTTCCCAAATTTCGTGCCAACGATAAAGCTGTAATTATGAAAAATTTACAAACATTTTGTTAATTAATTTCAGCCACCAAGGAAACCCCTTTGAGTGCACACGCCTACAATCCAGAGTCGGATATTTATGGACATACATACATCATTTTATATCAATTAATATGCAGAGCCCATAAGCACGTAGTGCGTGAGACGGACAAATAACGACGAGTTTATTATATTTGAAATAATTGCTGATCACAGAAACTATAATGCGACACTCGGGCAGCAACAAGTCAACGGATCGGCGTGATTAAAAGCCATTTATGGCTCGGATTGACAGCAGAAGACCTTAAAAATGGAATTAGCATTGAATTGAGAAACCCGTTTTGTGGGTGTTATTAAATGATCAAATTAAGTACGTTTTGACTTTGAGTCGGTCAACTATTCGCCTGGCTGCGAATCGCAATCGCACAGGACTGGACTGGACTGGACTGGATTGGACAGTGCAAAAACAAAAAAAAAAAATGCCAAACAATGTTGGAAACCGGTTCGCAGACGTTTCTATGTTAGTGGTCAAGGTCTAAGGAGCAGCAGACAATCAGACGGACAGAGAGACAGAGAGACAGACAGAGAGACAGAGAGACAGCCGGACAGCAGACAACAGACAGCAGAATGCAGTCAAAGCGGAATAAACAATAACATCGCAGAGAGCAGCACAAACAATACATAAATAAATGCTAAAAGTAGAACCAAAAGAAGAGAATTGCATAAACATTAAAGTTATATGTGCATGTATATAAGCATGTATGTGCATGTATATATGTATCTACATACATGTATGTATATATCCCATATGCGTGTGCATTGGAGCCTCTGAGTGCCGAGTTAAAAATAGAGGTACAGTAAAATTAGGGTGATTCAGTGCGCCAGTTGCAATTAATTTTATGCCATAAACAAATTTCAGATTAAATTAATTAACTTTATTTTTATTCATCTTATAAATGTATACACTAGTTACCACAAAATAACGCATATCATTTTAATAAACTCGATTTAACATTTTAGTGCAAAATCTTTTATGGAATTCAAAGTGCCAATAATAGCAGTAATACAAAATAAAATGTTTCTTAAAACAAATTAAGTTTAGTAAATTTGATTAGCTTTGTAAAATCCTAATTTATCTTTAAAATGTTTATCTATAAGTCACCATACAGCATTTATATTGATATAATAAAATATATTAATTTTATTTGAGAATGCTTTATCAATTTCTCAGGATCAATACTTCATAAACACTTATCTTTTTTCAGGGTTCCATTTTTACTACAGCTGTTATTTTTTATTATTTTTAAAATGTAGCATATATATTTATATTATAGAATAAATCGATTAATTAATAGAATTACCATGTTAACTTTAATGTCTTTCAACATTTTATTAAAAATAAAAATTTAACTTTGGGAATTAATCTATCTTAAAAAATGAATTTTTTCTTTATTCAACTTTAATAAAAAATGATTTAACCTTAAAAATTAATTCCAATTCGAATCGTTAGCTTTGTAAACACCAACCCTTCAACATGCTGGCTGAAACACCCTAATGAGTACATGCATCATGCAACAGCAACGTGATTGCAATGCAACCGAAAGTTGCATGCAATACATTGTATATAACATATATATATATTATATATATATATATATATATATATATATATATATATATATATATATATATATATATATATATATATATAAGTGTGTTTGAGGGACAATTTGAGTGTGTTTGTGTGCCAAAAGGGTTGCCAAACCACTTGCCTTATGTACACAATGAAATATGTATGTACAGAAAAAGTTTAAAAAACAAAAAACCAAAAAAAGACGTGCAGAAAAAATCGCAATAATGAAATTTTAGCAATACGAATACATGAAATGCGCCTGCTGTCCGCATGATGTTGAGCTAAAAACTGGTTTTCGATCGATTACGCCGCACTCCTCTGACTAGCCGACGAGCAGAAGCCAAAGGTTGCCTTATCTTATCGACCGACCACGACGACGTGTCCAACTTCTTGGAACGGACACTTGACCAAAACTGAAAGACCCAAACCCTTATGTGTGTGTGTGTGTGGATGTGTGTGCTGTCAAATTGACGCTAAAGAGCGCGAATCGTCTATTCAAATCGCTGAGAAACTGCAGTGTTAATCGCTACAAAACAAATTTTTTTTCAGCTGTCAACTGTCAGTTGAAAATCGGTCTGCAATAAAACTTTGTGTGTGCGGCTATGTTTAAGCGACACTTCACACGCACAACAGCAACAACAACAACAACAAAAACAACAACAGCTTCATTAAAATTAATTAATGCCTGGGCACACACACCAAGGACCATGGAGCCAAGAGCAACAATAGGTGTTAAAGGGGGTCGCCATCATTAGGCACATATCAGTTTGTCCGGTGTTTTTTTTTATTTCTGGTTTTTTTTTTTTTTTTGGTTAACCGAAAGAATATTCACAAATTAAATTAAATGAAGTGAGTGTGAAAATGTTGGGTGTGGGCAAAAGAAACAACTGAAAAGCCACACACACCAAAAACATTAAACACCCGAAAACCGGGCATGGCTAAAGGAAATACGCTCAAGTGATTTTCATACCACGCCGCCTGTCAAATTGTTGTTGTGGTTGTTGCTGTTGATGTAAAATCAAGATAAGCAAATTGTTGCCGAAAAAAAAATGTTGGTACAAAGGAAGCGATTTGGACGTTTTAATGATGATAGAGCATGACACAGAATAAATGAAAATGAAATCCATTTAAATTGTACATCAACATAAATACTTGAAAGAAAGAAAGAAAAGAGAAACGCTTTTTTTTCTCAACCACAATTAATATTTGTATGCCGGGAATTGTGGTGTCAATATCCCAGCCAAACATGCAACAGCAGTTTTAAATTTAATAATACGTTGATTATCAACTCTTATCTGAAATTAGTTTAGCAATTTAACATTTAAATATTAGAAAAAAAGGGGAACAAAAATACTGATAAACTAATTTAAAGTGAATTTGTTTTACTTTTGTAATTAATGATTTTTTGAGACGTTTGGATTACTTGCATGATTTCTTTCAGAGTTTTGCAAACTTATCTTTATACAAAATTTGCAAAGTATTGTTAAAAGTAAATTAAGCTGCCCCTTTAATATGATAAATTTGCCCTTGAAAATGAACTTGAAAAGGGAATTTAAACTTATGTGTGTGTGTGTGTGTGTGTGTGTGTGTATGTGTGTGCACATAAATAAACATATGCACAAATTTTGGACACAACACGAATGCAGCACATGCCACTGATGTTTGTTGGCTGTCATAAACAAGAGTTTCGATAATTATTATAATTCTTCTCCTTACTGTTCATGCTCCGTTTGTCCGTCTCCAACGCCTGTCAAATTGTCATTGTCATAAAAATAAATGCCCAAAAAAAAGGAAATAATAATAAAAAATGAACATCAACTGTGTGCAAATGGACAGACACACACACACACACACACACAAACACACATACAAGGAAAAAATGTATATATTTAAAATGCTAATGTATCTGTTGCTTTTATCGCAACCTGTTTCACATGTGCAACAACGAAATTA